CAGCTCTGATTTTTGCATCCCTCACACGATGAACTCTATATTAATGAGAGAGGCACAGAATAATTTAGAAGTTCTCAGTAGTATTTTCAGCTTAAATTGTATCCATTCTTTTTGTTGCATCCTCTGGAGGTGTATTTCAAATAGTGTAGCTATGTAGGACATTAATATATTTGTACTAGAGCCGGAAACGACTAGCACATATGTGCGAGGGGAACCTTTACCTTTTATTAGAAGCATTTGAGTTATTTTCTTCGAGAATCCATTTTAGATGCTAAAATACACAATACTTGCATTCACTGTCAGCATTAGATCATCTTTGTGTTTTGAGACAACCACTTTTTTAAAAAAAAACTGCCACCCATCTTTAATAAAGGAATAATGATCAAAGAACAGGGCATTTCTTTGCAGTTTAATGACTCAAGACCTTGGGCCATTAACCTTAACTGGTCATTAATTCCAAGTTAATGACCAGAATTGAGGTCATTATTAATATAAAGCCAGAAGATTTTTGTTTGGAAGAATCTGGATTTTTTTTTCTTCCTCTTCTCACAAAGGAAAATAATTTCTTTTCCAAAGTTTAAGAGGTAAAAATATGTGAGAATGAAGTAATTCTATTGTATTTTAATCTATAGCCAATAAATCCTTGAGAATATTCCATATTATTCACAATGTTATATAGTATTTTATGTACACACACACACACACACACACACACACACACACACATTAATGGACATATTCTACTCTGAGTAGTCACATTATTTTTTTTCTGCGGTTGAATCTGGAAAGAAGGAAGTAGAACACTTCCAATAAATACAAGGTTTCGAGTGAGTGAAATCCAAGAGCTAAATTGCATCCAATATCGGGCAGAAATCACCAACCTAGGATGCAATTGTAAGTGCTTCATCCACTCACTCATCACACACCTCTGGCAATGAAGTGTTGTAGAAGGAGAGGTGTTCTATTCTTCTCACCTTCTCCAGAAGGTTCATTCTTGTTCCTTTTATCTGAGCCTTCCTTATTTTTCCTGCTCCTCCCTAATCTCCAACCTCCATTTTTCTTCCAATATATTTATAAATGTCTAAGATTTTTATAGTAACCCCAAAGGACAAAAAGATTTTGACATTGTTCTGGAACTGTATATGAGTCCTACCATGTGGTGCCATATTCAGAGAAATCTAGCACAGTACATATTTTCTTTTTAAAAAATCTAGTACATTTTTGCTAAAAAAAAAAAAAAGAGAGAGAGAGAGAGAGAGAAGCAAGCTTGCTATGCACATTTTAGTTCTTTCTGTTCCTAACATAAGAAAAAAATATCTGTAGCCAGAATACTTTCTCAGACTACAACTGAGAAGATAACTAGTTATTTATGTCAAGAGAGACACAAGTATCATAGTTTTTGATAATTCAGTTTATAAATAGGATATTCTATTTTAAACAAAACATGTCATGGATATATCTAAGCCCTTCAAATAGTTTCCATATAATATTGCTAAACAAAAGTCAGTTCTGTTTAATGAGTAACTTGGAATGCTTAATAGTTATTTAGCTTGAACCTTGCCAAGTTTAAAACCTATTTTTGCATTAGTTGAGCAAATAATAAAAAAATATTTTAAATTTACCAAATCATGCCTTGAATAAATAAATACATCTGGGTTATTGTTTTATGAAGCTCTCTGGATATTGCTCCTTGGACAGGCTTTCAATGCAGAACACATAAGTTAGAGCTGTCAGACTTCTCAAGCTACAAATCCTTTGACCCTGAAATAAACTTAATTTGATCACCTTTTTTAGCCACTGCATCAGTCATGCATCGGTTTTTACAACTAATAATAATCTTGATCATACTTTAACTACTGATGTTTCCAGACCTAGTTTTTATCACTGTTTCAAAAGTTTACAAAACACATTTGATCTTATATAGATTTTTTGTGCTCTTTTCCTATAAATTTCTTATTTTTATTATGTCCACAACATCAGGACCAAATAGTGCTTATTTACTAAGAATCAACCTCCTTTAGTTATTTTTGTTGATTTTAAATTTTATTTCATATGTTACTTTTTAATAGCTTTTAATTATGGTTATTTTGATGGTTATTTTGTTTTTAAGCTATCATTATATTGTTTTTTTAATATTTTTTACAGTATAAATTAGCCATGTTGATTTAAGATCTAAACATCTAAATTGTGTTTCACATACATGCATGCCCAATATGACTTTTTTTCATGATAAGCAACGTGAAAATATTTCATAAATGAATAAAACATACACGCACTTCGTACTGATTTACATCTTCAATTATTTCATGTGATAATAATATTGCGATTGGTTGACAGCCATGGCATGATGCCCAAGCAACTCTATCAAAGAAGTCTTGCATGTACTCCCTGTCTGTGATTTAAATTAATTTAGTTTACATATTCCAAACCTTTTTTTCACAAAGCCTTAAACATCATGTTAAAAAAGCCTTTACCATTCACATGCCCTCTTTCCGGTTGCTTTACAAAACCAAAATAAAAATGCAGGAAGGGTTTTTCTGGACAACTTGCTAACCATCACTTGGAGATACCCTGATAACAAAATGATAGAGTTGGAAGTGACCTTGAAGGTTTTCTACTCCAACCCTCTGCTCAACCCTCTGAAATGGTATAGGGGACCCTACACCATTTCAGACAACCTCTTCTTAAAAACGTCCATTGTTGGAGTATCCATAACTTCTGGAGGCAAGTTATTTCACTGATTAATTGTTCTAACTTCAGGAAATTTCTCCTTAGTTCTCTCCTTGATTCTTTTCCATCCAATGCCTCTTGTCCTGCCTTCTGGTGCTTTGGAGAATAGATTTTTTTGTGAATTTTGGAAGGCTGCTGTCATGTTACCCCTAGTTCTTCTTTTCATAAAACTGATCATTTAGAGGACATATCCCCATGACACAATCTTTGACTCAGTTTTGACCTACTGTGGAGGCAGCCAAAGCTTACCCTCAAGTGTTCTACTTTTAAAATAGCTTTTTCCATCTTCTCAAACCACAGGTTGTAATGTGCAAGCCATCTACCAAGACTTTCTCACAGCATGGTGACAACACAGGCCATTTTGCCTTGGGCTATAAAGCAGGGGTGGGCTTCAAAAAAATTAGCAACCAGTTCTCTGCCTGGTTGCTGGGTGGCCGTGGCCATAAGTAGGGGTGGCCTAATCAGCCTCATGCACCATGACAGGAGGGCCGTTTTCGCTCTCCCTGGCCTCGGGAGGCTTTCCTCGAGCTTCCGGAAGAGCAAAAACAGCCTCCCTGGGCTCTGGAGACCTCCCTGAGCCTCCAAGAGGCCCATTTTTGCCCTCCCCGAACTTCTGTGCAGGCCCTGCACTTAACTGGCATCCAAAATGGGCCACATGGTGACTCCTTGGAGGAGAGGAGAAGGGTGGGCATAGACAGCCAGGGTGGAATTTTCCAATTCAACGAACCGACCATAAAATTAGCCACCAGTTCGCCCAAGCTGGGATGAACTGGATTTAAACTTCCATGCTAGTCTTTTAGAAGACCTTTTATTAAACATGTGACCAGGACCTTTTTTTAAAAAAGCATTTCTGTCTTTCTGCTGGTCAGTTTAAATTATGAGAGAGATATGTTGCTGGTCGTCTCCCCAATGAGCACATTAAACGTATCCTGCTGCTACTGAAAAATGCCTTGTTTCTGAATTTGCTAACTTAAGCTGGGCCTACTAAGGCATGTTGCTAATTACCCATTAAAAATAGGAACCTTTCTCAAAAACAAATAGGTTTCTATCTTTTTTTTTTTTTTTTTTTTTGCAGCTTCGATGTGTGCATAAGTTTGGAGCAGAAATCTCAAAAACCACTGGAGGCACTAAAGAATGTGACAGTCGTCTCTGGTTACATCTAGGGGTTGTCTGGATTTATGAAATCCAGCTTTGGTAGCCAAAATGAAATCCAACCTTCTGGGGAAATTCCTACTGGACAACCTGAATCCTACATTTTAAAAAAAGCAAAGCTATGGTCAATCACATCTTCCAAAGGTAAGGCTTTAACTAACAGAGTGGTTTCAGGCATATTGTGTGAAAAATTCACAGCCTGAGATATAAACCAACCATTTGGTTATATTCCCAGTGTGCCTCTTGATAAAATGGAAACAGAAGTCCACCTGTTCCAAAATAAGCTAGCCAGAATGACTGGACAGTGCCTCTTCAGCACAAACAACAGTTTTCCACCTGTTGTTCTATTGATACAGAGAATGTGACCTGTTTAACATTAACAGCAAATGTTCAATGCCTCTTCCAGACAAGCTCTTAATCATGAAATTGTTCATTGTTTGGGAATAGAATGGTTTCAAAACCTTTCCTTTGTTATTCTCTAAATCCAAAAATATGAGAGCATAATTGTTAAATGATGGGCCTCTGAAGCCATGCCCATCACAAATTGTCCTGGACTTTCTGCTCTGAGAGGATTTCAATAAGAAAAACAAAAACAAAACAAGAACCTACCTGAGACTTCTCAGAAAACAACCACTGAATGAAAAACTGCTGGTGACCTTCTACTGTTGCACCATAGAGAGTATCTTAACTTACTGCACCTCTGTATGGTTTGACAACTGCACAGGGGCAGATAGGACAGCACTCCAGAGGGTTAATGTCATTGCCCAGAAGATCGTGGGTTGCCCTCTCTCCTCTTTGGAAGAGCTTTATAGCTCCCGCTGCCTTAAGAAAGTTCAAAACATTCTCAAAGATCCATCTCATCTTGGGCACCCTTTTTTTTTTTTTTTGAACTATTACCATCTGGCCGACGGTACAGGATAATAAAAACAAGGACAAATAGGCTGAAAAACAGCTTCTATCCCAGGGCAGTAACTCTATTGAATTCTACTGTATAGCGCAATATTAATGCAATATCAGGGGTTTTCAATTCAATATATAGAATGTGAAGGATGTGTGTTTGTGTTCATTTTCATAGTCATAATGTACACTGAAGATAGTGTTTAATTTCATTGTATGAGGTGCAATGACAATAAAGTAAACTAAAAATAAAGCAATCTTCTAATTGTGTAACCAACTAGCAAAAGAAGACCAAGGATTTGTTGTTTTTGTGGTAGTTGTTGCTGCTGCTGTTGTTTCTCTTATTCCCAACTTCCTACCACAGATTTTTTTTAAAAAGTAGGGAACTCTGCCTGGTTTACAACTACTGCCCTTTGTAGCACAGTATGGGTGATGGTGTGCAGTTAGAGTTTGCAACCAAGCATATGGATTCCACTTTAATCTTTAGGTGACAGGCAAGAGTTATTAACTAGCTGAAATCTGAGACCATCAATTTAAGATATATAGTTTTAATAAAGTTTTACTTTGGTAAAAACTAGTGTGGATTTGTAGCTCCTCTGGAATATGTTAAATGAAAAGAAAAAGAAATGTGTTTCACAGAACAGATTTGTTCTCGTTTGGTAAAATAAGCCTCTCTAAATAAAGTCTCCATTACTATGAAAGCTTTTTCCCTCGTTCACCTAGTCATAATTTAAATGCTAACAGTTTAGCCGATCAAATTAAACAAATATAAACAGTTTGTGTAATGACATCACCAGTCAACAGGGAACATCTGTGCTTTTAACCGTGCTCAGAAAATATCCTTTTGTTTACACTAAAGATAATTATAAAGTTTATATTTCTCTGTTCAGTTTAAGAGCGTGGCTAAAAAGAAAAAGAAAAAAGAAAAGACCAGATTACCTTATGGTCCAAAATAGCAACATGTTTTGAGTGAAGGGAATATTTCCCCCCTCGCTTTTTTCCTTCTTCTTATAACCATGTTTAAATAATAGAAATGAACTTTCCCTGAACTTCTCTCCTTTAATGACTTTGGTCCACATTGACCCTCTGCTAGGAAGGGAACAGTGATAGCATCAACTTTCTGCTGCTAAAGCAATCAAATTAGTACAATTGTGCATACGGCGGTTGCAGCACAAATTTCAGGATCTCATAAAATGGGGGCAAAGGAAAAGCC